GGAAGATGACGAAGAACAACATGAAGAAGATGAAGAGGACGAAGGTCAACAGGCCAAAGTGTCCATTGACAAACATGAACTGTTTCGAAGGTGAAGTAATAAACTTCAATATAATAAATTCATGAATAATAAATGAGCCCAGAAATAAACACGATCAATAAATGAGTTTCTGTTCTGACCTGCGAGTCCGTAATACTGAGAGGCAGCGCAGGCCGCTCTGTTCGCCATGAACGGAGAAACTTCCACAGCGTAACCATGACGAGCCGGACTGTGAAACACCTTCATCTTCATCAGGAGGAGGAGGAGGAGGAGGAGGAGCAGGAGCAGCAGGAGGAGCAGGAGCAGGAGGAGGAAGAGGAGCAGGAGCAGGAGGAGCAGCAGGAGGAGGAGGAAGAGGAAGAGGAGCAGGAGGCCACTACCTGCAGGACACACAGAGCTGAGAGAGAAACAAGGTTGAAGACATTAAACAACTTGAGGATGAACAACAGAAAACATGAGAAACTAAAGTTAACGTCACAGTGATAAAAGAATTTAAAGCTTGAACACGATCATTGAAGACTTCAGCTGGAACACTGAAGATTCAAAGATTCAAAGATTTAAAGATTCAAGTTGAATGTCACGTTTTAAGAGTTTGACGACGCTGAGGTGGTTTTTGAGTTTTACACTTTAGAGACTCCATCTTTTATCTAATAATCCAGATGTAGATGTGCACATGAAGCTGGATCCTCTGGATCTGAGGAGTCCAGGTCTGTCCCACATCTGTCCCACATCTGTCCCACATCTGTCCCACAGGTCCAGAGACTCGGGGACGATCACTGAGACATGAAGTGAGTGACTTACCGACAAACAGCTGCTCACACACGTCACTGGTCCACAGAGGTTAACGTCCCGTCCACGTGTGTAAACATGTGAACATGTGTGAACATGTATGAACATGTAAACATGTGTGACCGGGTCCAGAAGCGACGCCTCCCTCCTCTCAGCCTCACGCTCTTTACTTCCGTGTTTCTATCAGCTGATCCGATGACCCGGATTCAACCCGCGTCACTGTAGCGCTGCAGGAGCGTCGGGAGGTGGCGCTGTTCACTTTCTTCACGTTTCCTCACAAACATTCTGTTCATCTAAAAATAAAATGAAATCTGATGAAACTGAATGAAATCAAATATAAAATTGATCTAAAGCTGTAAAATAAGTCTTTGAATTGTTTCATGTATTTAAATGTTCAAATGTTCAAACCAACAAACAATAAATCGGACACTGATTGATTGATTGATTGATTGATTCTGTTCAAACCTCTTCGATCATTTCATTGTTTTCCAGTTATTCCATCCGTTTGTATTTATGTGGGTAAT